TTGCTCACATAGACAAGCTCTGGCTGAAGCTGGAGAAAAATAAAACAACCCCACAAGAGCATATCACCTTGACCATATCCTACCTGAGTTTAGCGGCCATCTCAAGAACAGATTTGATGCATTGAACACTACTGATGAAAGACCAGAGGAAGTGTGGGTTAGCATCAACAACATCATACATGAAGAAAGCAAAAAAAGGTCATTAAAGATACAGGAACGAAAAAAAAAAAGACCAAAAGGAATGTCAGAGAAGATTCTGAAACTGGCTCTTGAACACACAAAAAGTAAAGCAGCTAGAAGATATGATGATGTAAAAGAGCTGAACAGAAAATTTCAAAAGACAACTCAAGAAGACAAAGTAGTATAACAAAAGGTGTAAAGACCTGGAGTTAGAAAACCAAAAGGGCAGAACACGCTCAGCATTGCTATAGCAGAAAGAATTGACTAACAAATTCAAGCCTTGGATCGCATATTTTGAAAGCTTCGAAGAAACATAACAATTGTGAGGATGGTGCAGAACCAAGCAGCGTTGTGTTGTGTTGTGTGTAAGGCTTCTGTGAGTCAGAACTGACTCAGCCACACCCAACAACAACAGAAGGCGATGAACACTTAAAAAAAAAAAAATTACTCAGCTGAAGTTAGAACGAACTTCTAAGAGAGTTGTCAGTGACCCCCTGCAGTTAATAAATTGACTACATGTACTCTTAAATTGACTAATCTGGACATCCTTTTAAAAATATAAATTTTTATATTTATAACATAAATCTTATTTACTTTCTTATAAATAAGTCTTATGTATTTACTTACTGAAAAAAAAACAAAAAAGTCTCCACTGAAAGGATAAGCTGACCATCCTGGAATGGCTAGAAGAAACAGAAGATACTTTTTGAAAGAAAGATCAGCATGAACAATCAAAAACAGTAACAGCAGTCTGATTGACTACCATAAGAACAAGCAAGTCATTTACCTAGGAGCCATCAAGGTAAGCGGTCAGGCCCCCTCAGGGCAAACCCTTTCCAAGACTAAGATTCAAGGGGAATACACGAACAGGCATGTGGTCCTGCTGCTGAGCACATTGGTCACCGATAAGGGGAAGTGGGGGGAAAACAGCAATGAAGTTGTGAGCTAAGTCCAACCACGCTCAATAGACTCCTGTCAACCTGGGTTGAGACCTGGTTGGCCAGCAGTATGGTGAGACTTAGGAACTACTGAGTCCAGGGACAGGGACATGGCCACAGAAGACTAAAGCGGAGAGTAAAGGGTCCAGCTGATATGACGTGAAGGGAAATGCACAAGATCATGCATACTTGCAGATAGTACCCATTTAACCTGGCTTCAATGGCTGGATGACCAGAACTCAACTAGTACAAGAAAGAAGAGGAAAAAATGAGTAATCCACTACAGTTTGATTAACTCAACCTATGCTTGTGGATGTAGTAGTTCAAAAGAGGGAACGAATCTTTACAGCGAGGATCATTCCGACCTCCTTGGTACACAGAGTAGACAGAGATGGACAACTTAGACATTGGCTACCCAAAATGGGGGTTGGGGGACCTACAAAGGCAAGAAGTGACTGGCTTACAAGCTTTCAAGAGGGAGTGTAGTTTCAGAGGGTGTGGGGGAAGGTAGAATCTCCACTGAGTGGGTTCCAATCTGTCTGGACGACGAGGCTGGTGAAAAGAGATGGGTATAAGACTCTTGTGGTTCAATAGTGAATAATTGCCATCAGGACTGATTGTGAGTGTTGCAAATGTAAAGGTAACAAGAGGAGGGGAGTAGCTGATCTTGCAGTCCAGGAGGAGAGGACCCTGAGTGCGGGACCCTATCCAGAGAAGCAGTGACGAAAGAGATGGAGGCAGACACAATGTGACTTGGAGAGACAGAGCAGCTGGGGACTCTAGACTCAGGGAGGGAAGGGGTCTATGTGTTGAAGGCTGGGGGCAGGGCTCGCAGGGTGTATCCTTTGGCTGTTTGATGTTACATGTAATCATTGTAATCATTGCAATGAAATGAAGTAAGATAGGATGAATGTAAAGCTAATGTTCTCCCATGTAAACTGTCATATAATTCACAACAAAAACTTAAAAAATAAAAAAAGAACTGATCGTTTAAAGTCTGCTGTCCAACATTCAGTGGAATGCTTCATAAATGTTCTTTACTGGGAGTCTTGGTGGTAATATGTGTCAGGCATTGGACTGCTAACCACAAGGTTGGTGGTTCAAAACCTACCAGCTGCTTTTCAGGAGCACGATGAGGCTGTCTGCTCCTGGAAAGATTTACAGTCTCGGATTTACAGTCCTATGAGTCATTATTGACTGACTGATTCGTGGTTGAGTCCCATTTCTGTGACAAGACTCAAGGCAGGTAGAACTACTTACACCTTAGTTCACTATTTTACATCTGGGCCAGCTCATTTGAAACCTGACATTTCAAGAGCCAGCGGGGAGACAGAAAACAGTGGAAAGCAAATGCTCTATGCTTTGTTTTATTTGGAATCTGAAAAAAAAAACAAAAAAAAAAAACCAAACATTTTTTTTTAATAAACCCTTAAATCCTTCTCCATTAATGTGATTTAAATGATGACTTTATAAAGACTGAATTGATTTGTTTACATACTCTCAACTGTAGAAAGATTACATTCCTTTTGTTGTTGTTTACACCATCAAATCCAATCAAGCCAAACAAGATGGTTAACTAAAATGATTAATGAATACGGCATCTGCTGATGGCTTTAAATTTAGCATGCGTTACTCATGTCAGGATTGATTAGTTCTCTGTCTGAAACGATGCTATTAAAAGCTTTAGGCAATTTAGATGTAGTTAGTCATTGAATAAAATTCCAGTGGGGCAAGAGGAATTCTATCAGGATGATTCTGCTGTGGTGGACTTGCATGTTCACACATGTTGAAGGGAGAATGAGAACTCACTAATGGGAGAGGAGGAAAGTTGGATGCAGGAAGGACTGGTTCAGTAGCATCAATCCCAGCACAGGTAAGAAAGCTGGGATGGAAAAATGCCCATCTTTGCACAAGGAATCCCAAGTGGTTTCAGAGTAGCAGTATTGATCATTTCAGGTTGAGAGCTTTTCAAGAAGCAGGAAACAGAAATGAGTGTGAGGTAAGAGGTGACTACAGGACCATGCCTTCATAGCTGCTCCAGACACACTTCCACAAGAAATCTTTGTAGCCTGTGATCGAGACCAAGCTTTTTATTCATAGCAAAGAAAAACATGGCAGGGTTGTAAATGTCCTGGGGTGGCTGGCTGCAGAGACTTCAGGACTCAGAAACCAAAGGGGAGAGTCTGACAAACTGAAGAATTGTCCTGCTTGTGTCTGAAGACCAGCAAGGGTCTAATCTTGGCCTACTGCTGCAGGACTTGACGAAGTTAAGTTGTTGAAAGGAGCAGTGAGTTTAGGAATGTGAGTGTGATGGTCAATGTTAATGCTTAACAAGGCATTAACAAGGCCCTGGTGTTTGATCAAAGGCTAGTTTAAATATTTCAATGAAGGTAATTAACATGTAGATGAGTTGAAATAAAGGAAATTACCCTGGATAATTCCAGAACACTTCATTGTGCTTATAAGGAACCTGTACATAGACCAAGAGGCAGTGGTTTGAACCTAACAAGGGGATACTTGAATGGTTCAGAATTAGGAATGGAGTGAGTCAGGGTTTTATCATTTCACTATATTTACTCAGTCTGTGTGCTGACCACATAACCTGAGAAACTGGATTCATTATGTGATGAAGAATGTGACATCAGGATTGGAGGAAGATTCATTAGCAACCTGAAATAGACAGATGGCACAACCTTGCTTGCTGGAAGCAAAGAGGACTTGAAATACTGGTGAAGACCAAAGACCACAGCTTCAGTTTGTACTGCACCTCAATGTAAAGGAAACAAAAAAAAAAAACAATCCTCACAACCAGACTAATAAATAACAAAATGGTAAATGGAGAAAAGATGAAAGTTGTCAAGATTTCATTTTGTTTGGATCCACAATGAAGGTCATGAAAGAAACATTCAAGCAATCAAAGACATATTGCAGTAGGCAGATCTGCTACACAAGACCTCTTTAAAGTGTTGAATAGCAAAAATGTCACTTTGAGGAGTCAGGAACCCCTAACCCAAGCCATGGTATTTTCAATAGCCTCATTCATGTGAAAGTTGGAGAATGAATAAGGTAAGGGAGACCATAGAAGAATGGATGTATTTGATTCATGGTATTAGTGAAGAATATTAAAAGTACCATGGATTGCCAGAATAACAAATCTACGCTGGAAGAAATACAACCATAATGCTCCTTAGATGTGAGAATGGTGCGACTTCATCTCTCGTACTTGGGACATATAGTTAGGAGGGACCAGTTCCTGGAGAAGGACATCATGCTTGGAAAAGTAGAGGGTCAACAAAAAAGAAGAAAACCCCATAATGAAATGGACTGACACAGAGGTGGAACAATGGGCTCAAACACAATTGTGAGGAAGGACCTGCACGGCCAGGCAGTGGTTCCTTCTGTTGTGCACAGGGTTCCTAGGAGTTGGAGCTGACTCAACGACACCTGTCAACAACAACAACCCTATAATGTGGGTGGGCCACATCCAATCAGTTGAAGGCCTGAAGAGCGAAAACTGAGATTTCCCCTAACAGAAAGATTCTGCCTCCAGATGTAAGACAGGCATGCTACTGGGGTTCCAGGCTACCTGTCATCCACAGATGTTAGATTTCAACCCACACAATCACCTAAGGCAATTTCTTCTTCTCGATCTCTTATTGATTCTGTTTCTCTGGAGAACAAAAGGACACATTGAAACATTTCCAACGTCTTATCTTGTAAATATTTTATTACTGGTCCAAGTGTCCCAAGACATTGTCAGGGGGAGGAGGAGGCCTAATTTACTGATAGACAATACTCTGGGTCTTTAGTTTCTATCCCTATCCAAGAGTGTGGGAAAGGGTCTGTCAGTGTGTGAACATTAGTTGGAAGATTCCATCCTTATTAATGCAGTTTGGCCATCTCTAGGAAAAAGGCAGCGAACAATTTGGATCCCTCTATGTAGTTCCACCTAACACAAGAAAAAAAAGAAATCCAAATGAAGGAGAAAACTTGGTCTGTCATTTAAAGAGAAAAACATGGTATTATCAATTCAATCTAGTGTTTAACAGGCTATTCTGAGATCTGAGTCTGAAAGCACTTGGTAAATTCAATGTGAAAACAGCATTATTAAGCGAATAGATTCAGTCCTGAACCATCATCATTAAAAAAAAAAAAAAAAAATCCATTTTACTCAGTCTCTTCTTGTTGGCATGATGTGGATGCCCAAGCCCAATGTTTTCTTGGTTCTCCCTGGTCTGAGAAGTTGAGATGCGATAATCTGCCAAGAGTATGCATGTCCAACACTTATAAACATCCTTTAGAGTAATAAGCTTCGACATTAACCGAGTATGGATCACCAGTATGGAGAACCTGGGATTTGTGCAATGAGGGACTAGTCCCCAGGGATGGGCTAACCTGTTGATTTTTTCATTCTGAGAATGTTCTCCATCATCAACGGCCCCCAGTGGAAGCATCATCACACTCTTCTGGATGATATCCTGAAATATTTTGGCAACTGGAATGGTTGATCCATCCCGAATCATATCAGGCTCTATTCCAAACACTGAAATACAGGAAAGGAAGGCAGTGACCTGGTCAAGTCCTCAAGTTTGCTCTTTCATTATCTCTTTTTCTCTTTCTAGTCATTATGATGATGCCTGGGGCAGTTAAGCTCCTTAACATCATGCAGTTTACATCCTAAGAAATCAAGGGAGCCAAGGGAGAAAACAAAAAACGTGGTTGCCTTCTTTAAAATTGTTGCTACGTGCCATCGAGTTGGTTCCAACTCAGATAGGGGCTCCGAGGAGCGAATGATGGGCTTGAAATGCTGACCTTGTGGTTCGCAGTCCAGTGTTTATCCTATAATGCCACACCAGGAGTCCTCTTTTAATTACCCACTTTAAAAACACATTTTAAATAAAATGTCATGACTCAAAAGAGATTGACTCAAGATGAAACCTAATCCTCCAGAATGTACCCTGCCTCATTAACAAAACTGCCTCTAACCCTCCTTACTCGCCTCAAAGAGTTAAGGATCTACAACACAGTGGACAGTGACATTGGATCACACCAGAGAGTATGATCACTGCATGATTCTGAGAACATGGCCTACACAATTCAATCCATAACACCTTCCGTGGTTTAGACTTTCTGGAAGGGCAATGGTCAGAAATGAGGAGAGACATGAAGAATCCCTCTCTCACAGGGAACTGACATGGTCAGTGCCCCACTGTGGACTTCTAGCCACTGAACTCTGACAAAATGCATTTATCACGTCAGGATATTATGGCATGGCTGCCTGGGGAAACGAAGTCACCCATCTACCATCTGACCACTTCCCCTGCTTTAGGGCAGGCCTTCAAACCTGTTCAGAAGGGTTCGGTAACTGGTATAGTAAAACAAGAGTCACATCTGTGCTGCATACCAACCAAATCTGCTGGGTTTTGACTTCAGTAGGAAACCAGTTAGAAGCCCTAGGAATGCAGTGGTTATGCATCGGGCTGCTAACCACAAGGTCAGCAGTTCGAACCCATCAGCTGCCCCTTAGGAGAAAGATGAGTCAGTCCGTTTCCATAAAGATTCTGACCTTGGAAACCCTGTGGTTCTACTTTGTCCCGTAGGGTCGCCATGAGTAGGAACAGACTCAATGGCAGTGAGTAGAAAACAGACAGCTGTGCCCCACTCAAACATGGCAGTCACCTGCACCACTTTGGATGTACACTGCTTTTCTCCAGAATCCTGCCACTGCCCTTCCTCCTGCAAGTGTCAGAAGCCTGATGTGGGAGACCCAGGTCACCATTTTCCTGGTATACAAGCTACAGATGCGGGTGTCCTTTCTCCCTGTCCCTGGCAGGACTGCCCAGGAGAGGGCAGAAGAACACAGTGGCAGGGAGTGGTCTTCATGGGGGCAGCGACCAGGGCCCTGCCATTTATGGGCTGAGCACTTTGAGCTCTTGCTATGTAAAATGAGGGTCCTGTGGCGAGGGTCACATGAGGTGGTGTCTATAAAGTCTGGGGGAAAGAATAGAACTGCCAGGAAAAGAGTGTCAATATTTCAGCTTTAAATGATCCACTCTGTCCACTGTCCACCAGACGCCAGCCATTAATTAGCCCCACTCTAAACAGGTCAATCAAAATGTGCTAAGACCTGCATTGAATTTCCATTTATGAAAATGGAAAATTTGGCAGCGGGTATTGGTGATGACTGCTCAACATGATTAATGTAATCGATGCCACTAAGTTGTACATGGATAAGCACTGGACTGCTAACCACAAGGTCTGCAATTCAAACCCACCCTCTGCTCCTCAAAAACGCTATCCAGGATTGCTGAGTCAGAACCGATTCAATAGCACTTAACAAGTTGTACACCTGAAAGACACTGGGTCAACGTTGTATTATATATATTTTGGCAATCATAACAAATAAATCTCAAGATCTCACCCGTTCTGATGGCTTGTTTTGCTGCCACATACTGGGTATCTTTTATATTTGCGATCCATGGCTGGATTCCCAACACCATAGAAACAGTCATTTGGTTGGAACTGTTTCTTCTAGAGAAGGTATCTTCAAGATACTGCTTCACCTAATGGGAAAAAGATCGTTGCAAGATACTCATACAACAAGCATATTACAAAGGAGCCCTGGTGGGTTGTGTTGGACCTCTAACCACAAGGTCGGTGGCTCAAACCACCAGTCACTCCACAGGAGAAAGAAGGCAGTCAGCCCCAGCAAAGATCTGTAGTCTCCGAACCCCTAAGGAGCAGTTCTGTTCTGTCCTATAGAGTCACCACAATTTGAAATAGACTTGGTAGCAGTGAGTTTGGTCTTTGTTGTTTGTTTGTTTCACTGGGAAACTGATTGAAATTTTAATCTGGGGATTTCGCCTTCATTTTGCCAGAGAACAATGCACACTGGGAGCTGGAGAATCCATGGGCAATAAAAGAAGATAACAGGATAGAGACTGAGGTCAGGTGGGGGCAGGTGAGAGGTATTCTTTCACCTCCTTCACTCAGGGTCTGTTGAACTTACATGAGGTAAACTGGATAGTGGCCTGATGGTTTAGATACATCAATCTTTCCAGGCAACATTTTTATTCATAGCAATGGGTTCAAAGCAATGATTTCAAGCGTTCTACTGAAGTGAAGGTCAGCAGTTCGAAACTACCAGCTGTTCCGCAGGAGAAAGATGAGGCTTTCTGCTCCCGTAAAGATTTACAGCCTCGGAAACCCTGTACAGGGTCGCTATGGGTCGGAACCGACTCCACGGCACATAACAACAACAACAACAACTGAAGTGAAAAGGAGCTCTGGTAGCATAGTGGTTACAAATTGGGCTGTGAATCTTAAGGTCAGCAGTTCGAAACTACCAGCTGTTTCATGGGAGAAAGATGAGGTTTTCTGCTCCCGTAAAGATTTACAGCCTTGGAAACCCTGTACAGGGTCACTATGGGTCGGAACCGACTCGACGGCACTTAACAACAACAACAACAACTGAAGTGAATGACTTGGGCTCCAGCTAACTGTGGGCAGGTGCCTGCCCCAAATCTTGGTGACCAATGTTGTCTATACATCTACCATTTATATCAAAACAATTTTCTATCACTTCCCCTCCCAACAGCTACTCATTGTACTACTGTAATTGTATGTCGTCAAGGACAGATATTTTTACTGGACAGAACTGAATAACTGGTGTGCTGATATTTGCCTCAGTCCTCCTGTATTGAAAAAAAATGATACTTGAATGCCAACCAGTGAAATGTCCCCTACGTTGTGATGTGTGGCACTTGGAAATATGCTGCCGGGCAGAAGAACTGTGAATACTTGTTACCTGTTTCTCCACCATGGATGCATTCATGTGAGGGACCAGACGGATGGAAAACTTCCCCACAACTCGCCCAGGAATGACTGTTTTCGCTCCAGGCTCATCAAATGCACCCTCAATCCCATGGATGGAAAGCGATGGGTACCTCCACAGGTGCATTAGAATTTCCTCCTACGTGAAGATAGATATTTACAAGGAATACTTCATTAAAGCTTGGCTGAAGGTGTTACTTGTATCACCTATGTCTGCACCTGAGACACTTCTCATGACAAGTGGATCATCACTTGACTCATGGGTCTGGGCGAGTGACCACAGGTGGGCAACAGCATCCAAACTCTCCACCACTGATGAAACTCCTGTTTCCCCAAACTCCACAGTCTGTAACTCCTTTCGGCTACTTGGGTTTGAATGTAACTTTCTATGCGCAATCAGTGCAAGAACCTTGGTGTGTTAGATGCATTTCATTATTCAGCAGCCTTCAAAAAACTCTGTGTATATTTGGACCTGCTTGCTTTCTTGTCAAAGAGAAGAGATGGATTTCATCATCATAGTCCCTCTTCACTTTGCTGTCTTTCTTTCTTAGCACATTCCTCAGGAACCAGTGTACCAAACACCATAGCAGACTCACATTAAAAATCAGGAGGAGAAAAAAGGGGGAATAAAACCCCTAAAACATCTAAATTCACCCAGTCAGGAAGCTGCTTTCAACCTAAACCCAGTTGCTATGAGGTCAGTTCTGACTCCTTGTATGTTAGAGTGGAACTGTGCTCCACAGGGTTTTCATGGCTGGGACCTGTTTGGAGTAGGTGGGCAGGCCTTTCTTGTAAGACCCCTGTGATTTGCTGCCTACCTTCAACCTTTTTGCTAGTAGTTGAACTCTTGACTATCTGCACTGCTCAGGGAGTTGATGAATCTCCTTCTGGCTGTAAATTAAGCGTCTAACAAGAGCATCTGACTCTGGGTTCACTTAGAATGCAGGGCAGTGATGCAGTAGTTTACAGGTCAGCTCCTGTTGCTCTTGACTTGACCTGGGAAAATGAATGATTGGCGGTCCTGAAGCTGGACGTCTCTCACTCATTCAACAGGTAAGAGGCCCAGTTTACCAGTTGAAGGCAGATGTCAGGTCTGGTGTTCTAAGCAGCTTTGATGGGAAAGCAGAGATAACCGTGCAGTCATCAAACTTAATGCTGGTGTCTGCAGATTCCAGGATAAGGGACCCAGAAAGCAGCCTGGAAAGCCAACATGTCTGGAACCCAACATCTCCTCTGAGACACTGAAGTAAGTGCTGACAGTAAATTGTTGTTCAGTGCCATTGAGTCGGTTCTGACTCATAGCAATTCTTACAGGGTTTCCAACGAATGACTGATGGGTGTGAACCACCGACCTAGCCATTAGCAGTTCAGTGCTTATCCTACCATGCCACAACAGGACTCCCTGAGAGTAAATTAGAAAAATGCCATCTTTCAAATGATGCACCAACTTGTGAGCATACATACCTTGGTGTCAAATAGAAATTTCTTGACCTGGGTGCTATTCCGGTACTCTCTGAGGTCCAGCTCAATGGCCTCATACATGTTTCTCTCCTCCTCTGTGACTGGTGCCACACTGTCATAGATTCCTGGAATCAGGATCTGGCCAGACGTATCGACAAGGCTCCCTGTGAGATGTACAGAGAGAAGGGAGGCCTGGAGCATCAACATCACTGGTCAACAAGACAGCATTTCCTGCTGGAGTGCAGCCCAGGTCACCAACTGAATGCACAAAGCGTATGAAACGATGACAGCAGGTGCAATTCACAAGCCACTGCTATGGGTTATTGGTCGATTGGTTCCAAGAAAGAACTGTAAACCAGCATGCTTTTCGCCCATTTCTGCACCAGATCTGCCTCCCCTTAGTGGAAGAGCACACATGTATGGAGACAATGGGATTAATCCTGTGTTCAGCCGTAGTCAGCAGTTACCATACTCAGGGGGAACTGAAGCAGACTGCTAACGCTGCCATGAGTCAGTGCCAGTGGGAGAGAAAAACCCGTGCAGGGAAAACAGAAAATGAACCTCTCTTCCCTAAAACATTAAGTGGCATTCTGTCTTTTGGAAACCACCAAAATTCCTCAAAGGAAAATGACTTGTGATGCTGTCAGGACAAGAATTACTTTTTAGAAAACCCAGGAAACCACAGGAAATACATATTCAGGATGTAGAATCCCTATGTAATGAATGTATGTTGTTGTTGTTAAGTGCCATTGAGTCAATTCCAACTCATAATAACCCTGTAAAGGGTTTCCCAGGAGCGGCTGGTAGGTTTGAACCACTGACTACATGGTTAGCAGCACAGTGCTTAGCCTACAGTGCCACACCAGGTGAATATATGATTACATGCTGTCATTAAGTGCCTTCAAGTCAGTTCAAACTCATACGACCCTGAATAAGGTTGCTGAGGAGTTACAGGTGGGTTTCAACCGCAGACCTTGTGATTCTCAATCAAGTTGTTATCAAGTACTGTTGAGTCAGTTCCCTGTATAGGGTTTCCGAGGAGCGGCTGGTAAGCCTGAACAGCTGACCTTATAATTCAAACTGACCTTGCAGTCCAGTGCATTAACCTACAACACCACACCAGGACTCCATATATATATATCATATATAACTGCTATATCTGTATAGATTTAACATAGTTCTATATCATGATATAAAATATGATTCCTTATCTGAATTTATTTATGTTTTATTGGGGTAATGATGGAGCAGGAAGCTCTCCCACGGACAATGGAACCGAAAACTGTGAGGCAGCTCCCAGCAGCTGTACCATGTGAGTGGGTGGTACATAAGTACAAGGCCAGGGGGTGCAAGTGGGGCTGGGGCAGAGCTGTGCCACTGGGGAAAAAGAGGGACTGTTCTCAAACAATCCCCAAGGAATGTCTGCCCAGGGAGCACATTTTTAGATGTTCACATTTGCCCTCTGTGCTTGGCAGGGACGATCCAGGTCTTGTAGGGTCTGAGCTTTCATCACATGAGAGTCTCTTTAAAAAGAACACTAACTTATGGGTGTCAAATTGCTAGTGTTGAAGAAAACCTGGTTTACTGGTCTGAAAGAGTAATTCTTAGAGTCAGAGAGTGAGTCTTCAAGTCTGAAATGGAACCACCCCCAGACATCTACTTTCTACCATCACACAAGTGTTAAGTGCTATCGAGTTAGTTCTGACTCATAGCAAGCCTGTATAGTTTCTGAGGAATGGCTGGTGGGTTTGAACTGCCGATCTTGTGGTTAGTCACAAGACTAGTGTCACACCAGGACTCAAACTAGCCTATAAAGTGAACAATAACACCAGGGAGAAATGTGCTCCTCACAACAATCAACTGTAGAGACCAAAAGGGCAGTCTTTTCCCCAAAACAGAGCTCAAAAAACAGGAAGGGGCAGGAAAGAAAGATGAATGGAAACAGGAAACCCAGGAAGGAAAGGGGAAAAGTGATGTTACGTTGAGGAAGGGTTGCAACCAATGTCATGAACCAAACTTGTCTGAATTGTGAAACGGAAACCTAATGTGTTCTGTAAACTTTCACCCAAACTACAATCTAAAAATACATATCACCATAATCAAAGGCCAAAACTGTTTAGTTGTTCCTATGGTTTGAGGGAGGAGTGTGGTCTGTCTTCTACTCTACCCTGCCTCGTAGCTAGTTTGGAAACCAAGGGAGGAGGTGACACCTGGCATCAAGTACTTCATACGTAAAATGAAGGAAGACATTACCGAGAAGGGCAACCAAGTCTGCCATGGGCTCGTGAAGGATGCCACCAAAGGTACCTGAGTGGAAATCCTGGTCTCTACACGCCACCTGCAGAGAGAGGGAAAGATAGATGTGCCTCACCTTCAGATTTCTACAGGCCTTCCTCACAGGGATGGTCCCAGATTCGAGGGCACTTATCCCTACATCTCAGTCAGACATGTGGAGTCCTGACCCCTCGCCATCGCTTCACTGCCCACTGCTTCCTGAAAGTGGCTTCATTCCCCAGCCATTCCGCTCATACCGTCCTACCCAAGACCACCAGGGCCTTCTGGCCCAATGACTGATGCTTGTACAGTTGTCTTCCTCTTGGCTTCACCCTATACTGTTGACCACCCTCCTTCTGGAAAACGTCTCCTCCATGGATTCTGAGAAACTCTGTCTCTTTTCTTTTCTTGCCTTCAGGATAATTCTATTTCTTATGTCCCTTTCATTAACTTCTATTTTTTTATTGCCTTCTCCGCCAATCAAGTTAATATATGTCTACCCTCTAATTAGTAATTTACCCTCACTCACCCTCCCACACCTGGTGACCATCAAAGACTGTTTCTTTCAGTGTAAGAACCATTATAACCGCAGTCTCATACAGTATTTGTGATTGACTAATTTCACTAAGCATCCTATCCTCCTCCCTCCTCTCAAGGTTAATATTTGCCTTTCTTCCTCTCTTAACTGTTCTTACTGGTACGTCTGACCTTTTGCATCAACACCGGACTAACACTTTGGTTGCTTCCAGAGCATTGCACTTGGGTGGGCTTCCAGTATGTCAGTAGATCTAGAACCGAACTCAGCAACTTCTCTTAAAACTACTTCCTGTCACCTTGCCCATTAGCAAAACAAGGAGAGATGCCAGGCCTGAAAATTCCTCACCTTAGAATTTCTCATAGGCACACCATGATCTAACCAGTTACCAACTTCCAATGAGGATTTAAAAACTGTGACATAGGTTTATTCTCACCCTGCTCTCCTGCCCAGCTATATCTTCTTTTCGCCCTTTAGGGCAAGATTTGCATTTTATTGTTGTTGTTGTCCTTGAGTCAGTTCCTACTCATACCTATCCATTATACCGCTTCCTGGAGTCCTAGTATGGTGCTATAGGATAAGCACTGGACTGCTAACCTCACGATCAGCAGTTCAAACCTATCAGTCACTCTGCAGAAGAAAGATGAGACACTCTTCACCTCCTGCAGCCCTGTGCCAATACCTCCACCGTGAAGTAGCTGTTCCCTCGGGTCCCGTAGGTGAGTGCGGGCTTCCTCCTGCTAAGCCACAGATTGTCGGAAATGACGATGTAGTCCACGTTGGAGAAGAAACGGTCTGTTTCTCTCTGGACAGCTTCCTCCAGAGCAATAGAACCGGCCTCTTCCATCCCTTCAATGATGAACTTAACATTCACTGGGGGTTCCTGAGTTTGACAACAGAACGACACAGTTAAAAACTGCACCACCTGCCCACTCACATATTAAAATGCCAAGATTCATTTGTATTTCGAATGTTGGTGCTGTTGTTGATAGGTGCCCATGCACACAGAGCACCAGACCTTTCTTCTTAATCTCTTAGTCTCGAAGTCCCACTGAAACCTGTTTGGCATCAGAGCAACACACAGGCCTCCACAGACAGGTGGTTGCACAGAAGGTGCCCTGGCCGGGAATCACACCTGGGTCTCCCACATGGAAGGTGGGAATTCTTCCACCGAACCATCTAACAGAACCCACTAATCCACTGCTGTTGGACCATAGCACCCTACAGGGCAGAGCAGAACCGCCCCATGGAGTTTTCCAGGCTTCAAACCTTTACAGAAGCAGACTGCCTCATCTCACTCCCACAGAGCAGCTGGTGCTTAACCCACTGTACCACTTGTATTTGACATAAATACATGAAGTTGGGACACACTGTTAAGGGGTAGATTGCTTGCATCCCCAATAGCTCTGTGCACAACAGGGGAGGTTTACCTCCGAATGCACAGGAGAATTCAGGTGAAGCCCTGAAGGCATGTATGCCCCACAGGGCCCCCTCTTGCTCACCAGTTTAATGTTGATGATAAAGAACTTGGGGGAAGGGCGAAGAAATCCCCAAGGAAAGAGCAACATCTACAAAGCAGAACTCTGCTGTGCTCCTGCAGAGCAAGACATTTTCCTTTCTCCCCAAATGGAACTGCTCAAGAAAGATTTCTCAGCTACAAATTGCTTTTCTGTCCTCCTAATTCTGAGCATTATAAATGAAGGCCTTTTCCTTTGAGAGGCGGTCTGATGTTTAAGCCTCAGGAGCATTCTTAGTTCAAGACTGTTATTTCTCAACTCTGATTCCGACCTGCCTTGTAACATATTCACAGGCTTTGATCTTGTCAGCAAAATGGAATTTGAGTTTTTCTCTAGTTAATATCAGGGCATGGAAGAGCCCCTTTATCATTTATACAATGTGCCTTTTCCCACATTTGGTTTGATCTTTTTGTATCTTCATAATTTATAACTTTGTGTCTTTGAGAGTCATGCAAGGGGATGAGGGAAGTCTCCCAAAGCAGGAGAGGTCTAGAAGGAATCCACTGCCGACATCCTCACACCAATTAGTGCTAATGAACTCAGGCACAATGAGCAGAGGACTGGATATTAGAACAAAAGGGGCCTTGGGTCATTCAGCTGAATGAGAATAAGGATTCATTCAAACGTACCATTGGTACTTCTGCGTGCCTGAGGAAATCAGACAGACGTTCTGAAATCTTCATATTTGAGAGCTTCTTAAACCAAAATAGATAAACCTGCTGCTGTTGAGTCAATTTCAACTCATAGTGACCCTAGAGTGCAGGTCAGAACTGCCACAAGGCTGCCATCTATAGGAAAGCAGACCGCCACATTGTTCTGTGGAGCTCAGGGACACAGGTGGGCCCCACCACTGAACAGCGAGGTGATTATCCACTGTGGCACCAGGACTGGGGAAAGCTCTTTATTAACATCTAACTAACCAACAATTAAGTCCTGGGGTGGCTGTGGAGAATCAGCACTGGACCACAGGGATGGTGGTTCAAACCCACCAGCCGTTCATTGGAAACCCTCTACAGGGTCGCTATGAGTCAGAACAGACTTGACGGCACTTAACAACCACCACCACCAACTTCTGAGAAGTGGTTGGAGAGCCTAAGAATTTTCTGACAAATCATGTCTAATAAATTACAAATCAAGAGCTACTAAGTCTTAGAAGAGGCTTGCAAGCCCTGTCCCCACAAGGGAGTCCCTGTCTCTATCTGTGAAGTCAGCGAGTCCAGCAACCAAGCAAGGCAGGGAGAGAAGAAAGGAGGAAGGGAAAAAGGGACCGATGCTCATTGGTGGTGGTGGTTATGCTGTGGAGTCAGTTCTGACTCATAGTGATCCTATATAAGGGTTCTGAGGCTATAAATCTTTATAGGAGCACAAAGTCTCATCTTTCTCCGGTGGAACAGCTGATAGTTTCAAACTGCTGACCATGAGATTAGCAGCCTGACCCATAACAACTACGCTACCAGAGCTCCTACTAATACTCATTGTTGTTCCGACCCATAGCGACCCCTGTATAGGGTTTCCAAGGAGCAGCTGGTAAGCTGAACCACCGGCCTTGTGGCTCAAGCCGACTTTACAGTCCAGTGCATTAACCAACAGCGCCACATTAAGAACCTACTATTTATCACAGGGTAGCATAGTTGTTATGAATCGAGTTACTAATCTCATGGTCAGCAGTTCGAAACTACCAGCTGTTCCGTGAGAGAAAAATGAGGCTTTCTGCTCCTGCAAAGATTGACAGCCTTGGAAACCCTGTACAGGGTCACTATGAATCGGAACCGACTCCACGGCACATAACAACAACAACAACAACCTTTTGAGAACCCTGATATATATTACTTAATCCTCTCAACAAACCTGTGAGGTGAGTGATGGTTGTCACTCCTAGTTCACAGAGAAGGAAAATGAGGCTCACGGAGCTTCTTGGCTTGTCCAAGTACAACAAATATTTCTTAGATTTTGCTTGTGATTATGCAACTTTGGATTTGAAAGGTGTGTGTTGGGGGGGTGGTGCAGATTTTGCCTTTTAAACTCATATAGTTTATACAGGAATTTCCTTATGAAGATTGCTTTTTTTATAAAGCAAGAGAGAGAAAAAGAGAAAGGCTGGCAGGGAGGGACAAAGAGAGAGGGGTCAAGAGAGAAAGGAAAGAAAGGAGGAGAGGGGAGAGAGGAAGGACCAGCATCCTATTAAAGACTCAGTGTATTCTATTCGGTGCTTATGAAGAGGATAACTTTGTAGTGGTCAACAGGACCCAGCCAGAAAAATGTCTTGATTAAGAAGTTCATCTTTGTAAATGAGATCAACGAGTTGAGTCGTCTGCTTATGTCTCCAGAGAAGGATTCCCAGGACAGTAGAACGGGACGTCCAGGCTGCCTGCTAGCCATCAGCCTTTTCTGCCCAGTCCCCAGAACCTCTTCCAGCATCCAAGACAGCAGGAAGAGCATCTGAACTGTGGTTGGTACCATTTCCCTTTTTGTCTAAAAATAAAGTCAAGTGCCACAGCCTCATGACCTTTTTTTTTTTTTGGCCTTGTTTTCATGCATTATCAGTTCAGGCTCCAGGACTGTTCCTAACAAGAAGTTCTTTACCCTTCCCAAGCCTCACTCTCCTGGTTTGCAAATTAGCATAATTAGAATACACAACTCAAAACAGTATGGGGAAGAGTAAATAAATGTCAAAATGCAGCTTAAAATTTGAAGCACAGTAAGCCACTCAAAGTACCTTCTGATCATCCCTACCCCTACCACCATCATCAATCACCCTCACCATCAGCATCCTCATCCTCACCATCAATCACCATCACCATCACCATCATCACCATCATCATCACCATCATCATCACCATCACCATCATCACCATCACCATCATCACCATCACCATCACCATCATCATCATCACCATCACCATCATCACCATCATCATCACCATCATCATCAATCACCATCACCATCATCACCATCACCATCAATCACCATCACCATCATCACCATCACCATCATCACCATCATCATCATCACCATCACCATCATCATCATCACCATCACCATCATCCTTATCCTCACCATCATCCCACCATCACCATCACTATCATCATTATCACCATTACCTTCATCCTCACCATCACCATCATCACCATCACCATCATCCTTATCCTCACCATCAATCACCACCATCACCATCATCCCCACAATCACCTCGTCACCACTATCAGCATTGTTATCACCGTCATCACCATCACCACCCACACAATCACCATCACCATCATCCTTATCCTCACCATCATCACTCTCACCATCAACCTCACCCTCACTATTATCTTCACATCACTATCATCCCCACCATCCCCAACATTGTCCCTGTCATCATCATCCTCACCATCACTCTACCTCTGATGCTCACCATTACCATCGATCACCATCACCCTTGCTGTCACCCCCACCATCCAGCACCATTCTCCTCCTCAGCAGCACCATTACCCTGATTGTGACCCTTACCATGACTGTCCTTCATCGTCATCACTCTCATCATCACCATCGTCATCATCACCTTCACCATCCATCACCACCACCTTCACCCCTGCCATCCCCCTCACCATCCCCACATCCTCTCTCCCCAACACAGCTGGTTCCCTACCTGCCCCAGAGCTCCGAAAGCGCTCACAGCATTGATCCAAGCTAGAACAGGGCCCTTGTTGTCTGTTGCTCCTCGTCCATAAAGCTTTCCTTTAAAATTGGGAAGAATTTTCAAAAGAATGTTGATACCTCCACCAGTTTGAGTGTGGTTAAAAACAACAACAACAACAACATCACATTACAGCTAAACCTATTAGCAGTGCTTCCTTTTTCCCAGGCACAAATCTTGTTATGGGGCTGCCGAATACGACTTCCACGTACAAGGATTGTTGCCCTCAGTTAGTAAAGATCATTTGAAACCCGAAGCCCTTCTGACCTTCATAGTAATTAGCTGTTTACTCGTCATTCACTGAGAGAGGCCTGAGGACTGTTGGGGGATGTGATGGAACCTAACCCCTCGCTTCGAGATTTGCAATTAGCAGAGGCAAGAGAAGACGATGCATGTGTGTGTTTCCATGAACTTTTTCTTCTTCTTTCTTTCTTTAGAAAATATAATTGACTTTCAGTATTTTTAGAAAGGAAAAGGCATGACCTAAACAACCATCGTCCTCACAACCAAGGTTCCCCCACCTGGGAATCAATTCACCTAAAGTATACAAAAGTTCTCATTTCCCTTAGCAAATGAAAGAAAATAAGCCTCATTCAGCTAACTGGTAGACTAAAAGAACAGCTTTTCTATTTGTTCTTAACAACAACAAATTATGGTCTGGAGCTTGGGACCACATCACCTCTTGAAATCTTAAATCTCACTCATGCAATCCCTTGTTCCTGGAAGCACAGTTCTGACGTAGAGTCGTTCACTGACCATCCACCTCTGTCAGCGTGTATGGGTCTGACAGCCATCCATCCTCCTTATTGGCTGGCTGCACATCCAAGTGACCGTAAAAGCACACGGTGGGTTTCTTTGGGTCGTTCCCCAGTTCAGCTAGGATGATGGGAGGAATTGGAAGATTCTGACCATCAGGAAACTGCAGGAGGAGAATGGGTCACATGAATAAACATGGTTTCTTCTCCTAGAAACTCAGACCTGGCATTAGGAGTCCTGTGTCTACCACTGGGTCTGTGTAGAGATTTGTGGTTTCTCTGAGCTTCTATTTCTCTAAATAGAAACCAGGAGACACCCTTACCCTCAATCCAAGTCCAGAACATCCTCAAAGACACATGGACAAACCTAACTGATCATGCTCTTCAATGAGAATGTCAGCCTCAAGGTGTTACTATTTGGTGGCTAGATCCCTACACAGACCATGGATTGGTGTTAGACCTAAGATTGCATTGGTGATTGGATGGACACTCTGAACAAGGAATCTTTGAGAGGACTCGTTGGGGATGACACATTTGAATATAAGGGAAAGCGCGATTTGGGGGTGACCTGGCCCCTACAGTACAAAATGTGACTAGAGAAGGTGGATGTTTCCATATGAAGTTTGACCTTCACCCAGAGTCCTTCCTATGTGATTAGAAATCAAGCATACAGTCATCTGGGGCTAAGTAGAGCCCTTCATTCTTACTCCTCATTCTTCATCCAGTTGGAATAAAGACTATGGGACATCTCTGTTGAAGACCATTGGCCACCACCACAGTGAGGCACCACTGACCCCACCAGGAGTGGTGATGAAAGGTCAGAGGGACTGGTCATACCTGCTGAGTGCCCATGTCCACACAGTCCACGCTGGCTCCCAGGCGCCGGAGTTTGTCCGCTGCCATGTCCATCATTTTAAAGATTTCCCGTCTGAGCCGAGGCACAGGTTGGACAGAATCACTCTCCACAGCTACCCAGTCCCTAAGCGTCTGCAAGAAAGACAACCCTGTGATCAGCGTGAGAGAGAGAACCTCATGTTCTCCTGGATGCCGCCATGAGAAGACATGAAGTTAGCCAACATTCTAGGTACCTAGCCAGCAACCATGACTGTGGTCTGTTACTCTCCCAGCCTCAGCATCCTCATCTGCACAAGGGGGAGGGGCCTCAGGAAGGGGTCCCTGGGGGAAAGGGGCCTTCTGATGGTCCAGGTTCAGCATGAACCCAGCAAATAGGCGGGCATCTCTCCACAGCCCTTGACACGTGTCCTAGGAACGGCAGAGCACCCCCTTTGTAGGAGGATAACTGAAAGGGGCACTCACAGGAACCAGTGGGCATTTATCAAAGTAACAGAGTCATCAGACGAAACGTGCCTATCTCCCACAAAGCTGATTTTCCACTGGCCCAGACACCCAGAGGGCAGGGACCATACAGGTGGAGTCTGGTTTTCCTACCTGTACAAATTCCTCCTGATGTCCATCAATGTACTGGAAGACCTTCGTCAGAAGTCCCGAGGGTGGTGCAGGGGATGAGAACATTCCTCCTTCCAGCAGTAGCAACAAGGTGAGTGCAGAGGAGACCTGTTAACGGGGGACATGGGACATTTGTCCTCATGCACAGCAGGACTCAGGGACTTTCCAGGACCGCTCTCTGCTTCTCCAAGGCTAGAAGCTGGACCAAAAGGACTGAAGGGGTTGGTGGGCAATGAGCACCACATCCTTCCCCAAACACTTCATGGTAAAAATGTCATTAATATTGCAGAAAGCAAATAACAAGTATATCTTTAACAATGTCTTGCATATGCCCCCACAATACCATCTTTTCTATCAACACACTCCCTGTCAAGGCAACGTTCTGTGTCCCAATGTCAAGGGCAACATTTGTAAGAGACTGAATATGAGTTCACAGACCTCTAGGCATGAACCACACGAGACACAATATTTTGTAAGGAATGCCAACAGTCTTATGTAGTGTTGTGGGCTTTGTGTCTACCAGCTCCTGAATCATTGCTGTTGTGTGCTGTCAACTCTGTCCTGATTCATAACAACCCTGTATAGTGTTTCCAAGGCTGTAAATTGTTACAGGAGCAAAAAGCCTCATCTTTCTTCCAAGGAGTGGCTGTTGGATTTGAACTGCTGACCTTGTGGTAGTAGCCCAACGTGTAACCCACTATGTTGCTGGGCTCTGTAGCCCCTGCAATTAGGTGGTGGTTATGTGCTGTACAGTTGGTTCCGATTCATAGTGACCCTGTACAGGGTTTCCGAGGCTGTAAATCTTTACAGGAGTAGAAAGCCTCATCTTTCTCCCGTGGAACAGCTGGTAGTTTCGAACTGCTGACCTTGTGGTTCGCAGCCCGATTCCTAACCACTCCGCTACCAGAGCTCCTTAGAGTGCTGTAAAAAGCAATGGTATGCTGGCGTGGGGCCATAGGATAAGCACTTGATCTCAACATCAGTATGAACCGCAAAGTTGACGCTTCACACTCACCATCCACTCCTTGAAACCCTGTACAGGGTCACTATGAGTCGGTACCGACTCCATGACAATTAACAACAACAAAAAGCAAGGAAAGAAAGAGAGGGTTACAAACCATGCTCTGCTGAGCAGCTCTGAAGCAGCAGAAATAATTTCCACCTGCTGGCTAACTCGCTCTCCACTTTCTGGGCTGGCTCCTCCCACAGCTCTTCCAAGTCTGTTTTCACCTCTCCTCCTGGAGTGGCGCTGTAGGATCAGCACCGGACTGCGAACCACAAGGTCAGTGGTTCAAACCCACCAGCTGCTCTTCGGAAATCCCATACACTATGAGTCAGAACCCACTAAACGGCTCTTAACAGCAACAACATTAGTGTGGGACCTATGCAGGGACCCCCTCCTTCATGTTCTGACACCTTTCCAATCTCCTGTCCCCCTCCCTGATGTGGCTGTTCTTGGGCCAGCTCCACACTGCACATGGCACATCCTCCTTTTTGGGGTAGCCCTACCTGGAAGCCCTCAGGCCCTTATAGGAAGCATCCCTTCTGGTCCCTAACAATCCTTTAGCAGGCAGCGGCAGGGACTGCCCCTCCAAAGCTGTTGTTGTGGGGGACACTGGCCAAGACCCACAAGTCTAAGCATTTACCTGGAGGCTGAGTCCCCCTCCCCAGTGAATGCTCCCCTCAAAATGGCTCTAGAGGACAGGATGGGAAGAGGGAGAAGGAGGCAAAGGGAAGGGACTTGAGGATGTGGTCTCTGCACAGACCCCCCAAGTTTAGGATCCTGGGAAAGGGGGTCTCACCTGGGACAGGAAGAAGCTGGGAGATGTCGGCACAAGGGGTTCTCATTTCAGGTTGTACACCCTGACTCTCAGCAATGTTTGACCCTGAAATCCTCTCCTATTATGTGATAAAACAATGAGTTTTTCTACGTATGTTTTTTTTTTAAAGAATTTGTTTGTTGTAGCAAAAATAACGAAACTTGCCATTTGTATAATTTGAAAGTGTACACTTGAGCGGCATGCATTACGTTCTTGGTGTTCACCATCACCAATACCTAGGGCTGTGGCATTGACTCTGCCTCCAGTAATGCTTCAGGGCAGAGGAGAACTGCTCCACTGTGGTTCGCAGTTCAGTGCTTATCCTACAGTGCCTGCCACAGCAGAATCCATCTAGGGAGGCAGGGTTTCTTCTTTGTTCATGTTGTGACGTTCTGTTGGTTCGGACTCATAGCGGCCCTGTAGAGGGTTTCCGTGGAGCGGCTGCTGGGCTTTGGTAAGTGGTGTTAAAAGGCGCCCTGGTGGCAGTAAGATAAGTATCAATCTGCTAACTGCAAGATCAATGGCTCAAACTCACCATAGCTCCTTGGGACAAAGGAGGCTTCTGATCCCATAAAGACTTAGAGTCTCAGAAACCCTATATAGGATCGCTATGAATCGAAATCAACTCAATGGCAGTGGGCTTGGGGCATTAAAAGGAGTCCTGGTGGTGCCGTGGGTTAGGCACTGGGCTGCTAACTTTAAGGTTGGTAGTTCAAACCCACCAGCTGCTCCAAGGAACAAAGATGAAGCTGACTGCTCCCCTAAAGATTACCATCTCAGAGCCCCAAGGAACACTTCTACTCTATCCTACTCGGTGGCCCTGGGTTTGGTTTGGTTTGGTTTCGTGATTAAACTCATGTTCGTGAACAATGAAGAGTTTGTCCAGTAGACGGTGCCAGTGAGCCACCAGCTGGCCCTCTGCAGCCTCAATCGCCACCAAATTCATTTCTGATAAGAATGAAGAAAGGGCTTAGAGGTTACAAATTGGGCTGTGAACCACAAGGTCAGCAGTTCGAAACTACCTACTGTTCCGCGGGAGCTTTCTGCTCCCGTAGTAAAGATTTACAGCCGCGGAAACCCTCTACAGGGTCACTCTGAGTGGGAACCGACTCCACATAACAACACAAGAATGAAGAGGCTTCCAACTAGGCTCTGTGCCCTGCAGCCTGTGCCAGGGGCTTAGGGGAAGTCAGGAGACTGTGCAGGAAGGCAGAGTGCAGGGCACAGAGGAAGCTCCAAGGAGACTCTTTGAAATGGAGTAACCTTCTAATGAGCATTTGTTGAGTACTGTGGAGTGGGTTCTCACTCATACAGGAATGAGCACTTAGGATCTCATTTTTCACTTAGTTTCCATTTGGGGGGAAATGGTTGGAAGCCCTTCCCCAGTGAAAAAGAAAATTTAAAACAGCAGCAGTAGCCACAGGACAAGGAAGAAAATGGTCGCTGCACGGTTGGAGGGCAAGGGTCCCAGATTCCAGAGGACCTTGGCCCGGAGACCCCTTGCAGGATGGCGAGATATGAAGGACTCCATTCCTGGCGATGCTTCCAGATGCCTGGTCGGACAGAAGCAAGTCTTGCTGCCCACACTCACCCTACCTTTCTGAAGGCGCCCGGGTGGTACAGGTTAAAGTCCAAAGGTGGGTGGTTTGAAGCCGTCAGCAGTTCCGTGGGAGGAAGATGAGGCTTCCGTCAAGACCGCCACCATGGAAAACCCATAGGGCAGTTCTACCCTGTCCTATAGCTGTGACTCGAAGGAACACAGCTGTTCACTACTCTCCTGTCACCCATGCTCTTTTGTGAAAAATGATTATTTACACACATTTGTTCTTCCAAATCAGGTGCCAGTGGTTAAATTTCTGTCTGCTAACTGAAATGCTGATGGTTTGAACCCACCAGCTGCTCTTAGGGAGAAAGATGTGGCAGTCTGCTTCCAGAAAGATTGTTGTTACATTTAACAACACATCCTCGTAACTGTTGTGTCTGAACCCATCACTGCAGTCATTTTGTCAGTGCATTGTGAGGATGACCACTTTGCGAACCCCACTCCACGCTATGGGGTAGGGATAGGGTGCATGGCACTAAAAGCATGAAATTTGTGTTTGAACAAAAACCCTGTTTTTTACCTCACAGGAAATAGTTTCAACTATGATCTCATAACCCCCTCCCAGGGAGAACAGGATGCGTCCAACTCTTTGAATCTCGCTGAGAACCATTAATTACTCAAGCAGCGGGTCGTGAAGACCCTGAGAATAGAATGCCCTCCGAAACTAGTTGAGAAGGTTCCACTTCATTCCCTCTTACTCTGGAATATGGGTTATGGTTATGAAGATTGATTAATCATTTGATTGATGTATTTTGCCCTAGATAATGTGCTTGCTCTCTGTCAGACACAGGATGGTTCAGGGAAAGCATTCACCTGTCCTCCAGATTGCTGGCTTTCTGTTAACAAAGCTAAGTTGGATCTTTCCCTGTCTCCACGACTGTCTATAGTGACAGGTGGCAAGCTCTCATTTGGTTTGGCAACAGCACTGGGTTTGGTCTGTTTGCCCGCACGACACCTGCAGGGCCCCGGGGAGGCATTCCATACACCATGCCTTTACCTTCTTCAGTTTTCTCCCATTGCAGCCCCTCTCTGACTCATCACTCTTGACCTCCTGGCCTGGAGAACAGAATGGTGACAGTAGGGGCCAGGGTGGGGCATCCTTGCCCTGAGGGTCTCTGGAATGTGGTGGGTGGGACCCACATTGGACACAGGATGCTGGGAGCAGCCGCGTTCATGCCAGCCGGCTGGGGTGAGGTGGCAGTACCAACTCTACACTTGCTGCATGTGTTTGCTCTGACAGTGAGCCCTTCCCAGCAGCCCCGTCCAGCCCTCTGTTACACTGATGCCCACAGCCCTCCACTGTTCCCCCAAAATGAGAGCAATTCCCCTCGGAATCCTCAGAGTCTGAAGGTTCTCCCCTTGCCTTCCTCCCAGCCCCCTACTCCTCATTCTCCTGCACTTGACCAGCTGTGACTAAAGTGGACAGGGCCCCTCAACCCATGACATCTCCCCACAAAAGAGCAGGGGCTCAGTCAGGACAGAGACATGGCACCCTGACTGTGGGCAGAACAAAGATAAGGTGGAAGCACTGGTCTGTCCACTGCTGTTGGCCCTTCTCATCCATCAGCATGGAACCCAGGTGTCTACTCACCCAGGGTCCGGGGGTTAGGAGAGGTGACCTGGGCCTGTTTCCACTTGGATGCACCGATCATAAGTCCACAAAGAAGGCTCTGTGACTCGATTATCTCCACTATCACGGGACTTTAAGAAGGACAAAACAGGCTTTTCTGGATTTTGCTCACCACCCAGAAGGCAGGGCCTGGAGGCAGTGCATTCCTGCAGACAGACTGACCTCAGCAGCCTCCTGGTGGAGAATGGGGCAACTAACACATAGCTTCCTTCGTCGTGCTGGACAAGCTCCAGCCTGGGAGGAAGCAGTGTATCCAGGAACAAAATTCCCCAGAAACCCTAAGACTGCCCGAAGCTGCGTTCCCCTCGCCAAGTCTGCCCTTCAGCTAAGCCGAGCCCCCCTGGACCCCCCGGGAGAGGACTGCACACCAGTTACCCCGACAGTGGGCAGAAGGGGAGACGGACAGCGGCCCCAGGAACCACTGATGAGAGAGGGAGGGTGTAGGAGTCACGTGTGCTGTTTGGGGGGTCCAGTCTGAGTTGGCTGACCTGAGACTGAGGAAAGATACAATGTCCAGCTCTTGGGGTGATGAGCAGTGTGGCACAGGATAACAGGGCAACAGGCTGTTGAGTGTCCAGCCCTCAAGGTGGTCAGCGGCAGGGCGTGAGATACAATCAACAGTGTCCAGCCCTCAGTGTGATCAGTGGCAGGGTGTGAGATATGGGCCACAGTGTCCAGCCTTCAGGGTGGTCAGCGGCAGGGTGTGATATACGGGCCATAGTGTCCAGCCCCCACGGTGGTCAGCTACAGGGCATGAGACATGGGCAACAGTGTCCAGCCCCCAGGCTCTGTAAAGCCCGGCCAGAAGCTGGAATCAGCATACCACCAAGAGCACATCGGTGCACCTCCGAGGCACCATCCCAGGTCCAGCTGTCCAGCTCCCTGTGGACTTCTCATCTGAGGATGAACACCTGGGCTGTGGGTAACCTCGGGGAGAAGAAAGCAAGCACTGTTGGCATGTGATGCTGGGTGATGCGTCTGGAACAATGTTGTCTCAGAAAGACTTTGTAAGCTTTGTTATTCCCTCTGGTATGACAAGGAAACACGGACTCTGCAAACATCAGCAGAGAGACAGCTCAGCTTTGCACCGGTTCCGGAGCCGCTGTCATCTGGAAGTTGACCAGCAGCTGACACAAGCCACTGAAAGGAAAATGGAGTGGCCAGTCCTGTGCTTTCTCCTATAGGAAGGTCAACCAAGTTCAGCCAGGCAGACACAGTGAGATGCATTGTATGGACATGCATGCTGCTTCTGTCTAGTTGGTTTCGACTCAGAGCCACCCTGTTTAATGTTTCTGAGGCGGCAAATCTTTATGGAAGCAGAAAGCGTCATCTGTCTCCTATGAGCCGCTGGTGGATTTGAACTGCTGACCTTGCAGTTAGCAGCTGAACGCGTAATGGTCAGCAGCTAAGTTGGACTGTGAGCTCCTTGAAGACATGGCAGGACAAGTTGCAGTCTTCACTGTTGATGGTACCAAGTCGCTAATCCTGAAATGCTCTTGCCAGGAAGTTGATGGCAAAAAGTGTAAACCCCTCTCCAAAAAACACCCTCAACAGTGGGTTCCAGACACAGGAGGTTCCAGGTAGACACAAATTCTGGGGGACATCATGCTGCTTTTTATCCTCTTATCATTATCTGATATTTGATTATTTGTTGATTTACTTTGTAGTTATCTGACTGACCCATTTGAATGGAACAGGACTTTGTCTTCCTTATTTCTACCTCACTAAGTCCTGGTGTAGTGTAGTGGTTACGAATCGGGCTGTGAACCGTAAAATCAGCAGTTCGAAACTACCAGCTGCTCCGCGGGAGAATGGCGAGGCTTTCTGGCTCCCGTAAAGGTTTACAGCCTCGGAAATCCTGTTTAGGGTCCCTACGGGTCGGAACCGACTTGACGGCACATAACAACAACAACTCCCAGTGTGGCACTGTGGGCTAATGCATCAGACTGCAACATTGTTTGGACTGCAAAGTCGGTGGTTTAAGCTCACCAGCTTGTCCTTGGAAACCCTATACAGAGCTCTGGTAGCGTAGTGGTTACGAATCGGGCTGCGAACCTTAAGGTCAGTGGTTCGAAACTACCAGCTGCACCGCGGGAGAAAGATGAGGCTTTCTACTCCCGTAAAGATTTACACCCTCGGAAACCCTATACAGGGTCGCTATGGGTCGGAACCGACTCGATGGCACATAACAACAACAACAACAACAACAACAATGGGTTGGAATAGACTCGAGGGCACTTACAACAACAACCAGAACCTCTAGGAGTCGGAACCGACTCCACGGTACTTAACAACAACAACTGCCTCTGGTAAGGAGCTCTGGTAGCGTAGTGGTTACGAATTGGGCTGCGAACTGCAAGGTCAGCAGTTTGAATACCAGCTGTTCCGCGGGAGAAAGATGAGGCTTTCTGCTCCCATAAAGGTTTACAGCCTCGGAAACCCTGTACAGGGTCGCTATGAGTCGGAACCGACTCCATGGCACATAACCACCACCACCCAGTGCCTCTGTAGTGTAGTAGTTACAAGTCAGGCTGCTAAATTCAAGGTCAGCAGATCAAAACTACCGGCCGTTCTGTGGGAGAAAGATGAGGCTTTCTACTCCCATAAAGATTCACAGCCTTGGAAACCCTATACAGGGGCACTATGATTTGGAACCTACTTCACGGCACACCAACACCACCACCACCACCAAGTGCCTAGAGAAGCCGTGGTGTGGTGCTGTGGGTTAATGTGCTGGACTACAAGGTCGGTTTGAATTGCAAGGTTGGCAGCTCAAGCTCACCAGGCGCTCCTCGGAAATCCAATACAAGGTCACTATGGATCGGAACCAATTTGATGGTTGTTGTTGTTGTTGTTGTTTGCCGTCGAGTCGGATCCGACCCATATTTGATGGTACCTGACAATAACAAGTGCCTAAAAGAGGAGACATGGTGGTTAAGTGTCCAGCTGCTAACTGGACCCACCAGCCACTCCTCGGGAGACAGATATGGCCATCTGCCTCCATGAATATTCATGGGGAAGTTCTAGCTTGTTCCAAAAGGTCCCTGTGAATCAGAATGTATTTGACAACAATGATTTTGTTTTGTTTTGTTTTTTTAAGTGCTGAAAACACTGCCTACCATTGAATCAGACCTCCTCATGTAACTTCACAAGGCAGAAGGAAAATCAAGATCAACAACCCAAGGCGGACAACAGACATGCCTTGACTTCAACGTTAAAAAAAATTTTTTTTTAACCAATTCTGACACCAGTTATCCCTGTTCATTAATGGCCACGAAGAACTCACAGACATGCCATTTTTACAGCTTCTGGGTGAATTCCTTAGTCATGGTTTCCAATTCATCCATTCTCTCTTTGACTGTGTCTAGTCTAGAATCTATACTACCATGTTATTTCGATGACTTTGTGTTTTTTAATTTTCAGGATTTCTACTTTTTTCTTATCTTGATCTGTATGTGCCTGCTTACGATATGAATGGGTTCAATGACAGTGGGTTTGGTTCCCATTTTAAACATGTACATTTCCATGTAAGTAAATCGACTTTCCCAGAGGCTAATTTTGTTACCTATGTTTCTCGTTCTTCCTTTTCCTTCTGAACTTCAGAATTCTAACTCGCAGCTCAACTAGAATGCTTGTTTCCCTTTCCTGCAATTACTTCTACCTAGAATTTCTGTGATCACCTCCACCTGGGGCTTCAAGACATCCAAGCCAGATCCAGGTCTTAAACTGGTGGCTTGGAATTCCAAATAGAGTTTGCTGGAGGACAGACTGACTCGCAGTTTCACACAAGGACACCCTGCTCACCACTGTGCACTGTTTTGTTTTTGGACAGTGGACATGTTTCATTATTCCCTTCAGCATAGCTATATCTTTCTCATTAAAAATTTGTTGTTGTTAT